AAAAGTACAAGTCGGACTCGCGAATGAAAGGCTTATATCATCGTTTTTTTTAATGGATAATTTATTGTATGGTCGTATTTTTTTTAATATTATTGTTACTTACAGCATTAATAGTTATTTTCTGCTGTATCTATTAAAGTGCATAATTTAATGACAAGAGGTCCATAAGAGGTAAGATAAAGTAGATTTTTCGATCGGATTTTAGCGCTCGTTTAAGTAAATAGCCACCTAGTCTTTCTCCATAAAAGACAACACCAGGTAATTATTTTCGAGGGTAGCGAATGCCTTTTTCAGGCTACTTTCAATTTTGTGAATTGACAATTTCGCCTTGGCATTTCTATTTGACTACATTCACACGATAACCATACATTATTACATGAAAACACTTATCTATCGTTAATTTCTTTTAGCTTATTGTTCACTGCATATACTAACATGTGATCATATCCCAGTTGCAACAGTATTTTGAATATATTTAATCGTTTCCCCAGCATTGCCCCCTCATTTCTTTGCCACACTATCCGGTAACGGAATGCATTACACGCTCATGTTTTTCCGAAAGTTTTAAAAGATACGTGAGAAAAAGCAACTTGCGGACTTGAACAAAGGTGGTGTGGTGTGGCAGGTAAATCTGCTCTTCCAGCCATTTTCGTGTCTGGGCACCACCGTCACTTAACAACAAGTGATTATTTATGATTTTATTTATTTTTTAAGCATTTAACTGCTAGATGTTTAAATCTAAAGAAAAGTTTACCAGAAAAAAATCCACGCGGACCAGGCAGCGGACGGGACTCGAACCCGCATTTTTTTTTCTAGTAAACTTTTCTTTAGATTTAAAGTGATTAATTGTTCGGACGTAACTAGAAATTCAGCGTTCGCGTCCGTGATATAAGGCCGTGTGTTTCCAACCAGGGAACATGGTCGTTCACAATTTCAATACGCCACACCGCTCTCAAACTTTTAATTCAGAAACACATCATAAAGTTGGCGCGTTAATGCCGTGGCTGAATATTCATTCGTTGTCATCATATCCCGCATTTCTTGGCCCGGATTATGCCGAATAAACAGAATATGCATATTTTGTTGCGGCACGAGTGTTAATGCAGGCCCTCATCTACAATCCATTAAGTGTTGCTGTGATCAGTGCTGTGAATATTCAACGAGACTCGATCGTGGAGTGTTTGAAGTATATATTTTATTTGAATTAATGAATTTTGGTGGACACAGATACCTGTAGTGCGGGCAACCTGTCAGCCCATTCCAAAACCTTATTACCAAAAAAATGTTGCACATGCGTTTAACACGAGTTTAAGAAAAAAGGTCATGCAAAATTTACCTAAACAAGGTTTGAAACCGTGTCTAACTTTTTCAACTTGTCCTAAAACCAATGGCGTCAAGTTGCATATGAAAATAAAGAAACATTCTGATCTTTACTAATTTATGTGGGATCTTTAGTCATCTTACTAAATAATGAAATAAAAAAAATAACGAAGTTTTTATTTAAGTTTATTTGTATTAAAAAAAATTGTGTGTGTCAGCTCCGACGCACGACCGGAGTTTACACTCTAAAAACGATTGTCTTTGAACAGACACAAAACAAAATCAAGTCCGAAGAAGTCGGTTACAAGTAGAGACACCTCAGGAATCGTCCCATGGTTTCGACTATCATAGGTTCCATGTCACACATTTTATCTTCTAACATCAGCGATATTCATCATATATTTTATTATGTATTTCTGGAAACACACAATTTCAAAAACATCACACACTAGTCATCATTTTGTAAATATGTATTATAATTCCATCTGTACTGAAAATCACTTACCGGCATTTCTGTATATTCTGTTATTTATTTGTTTTCATTAATTTTGCTCCGATTTTATCTATTTTTAGTTTATTTATTTTATTGACATTTGTTACAACTTAATCTTTTTTATCCGTTACCATGGCTAAAAGTGAAAGGTGCACAGATGAGGTTGCGCACAAAAACGTAACGAGGTCATTAATGTCATTCATCGATAGATTTTACTCCTCACATTTTTCTCATATCGGCCCCTTATATGTATATGCAAATCGATTCTTAAGGAGTAAACTCCAAAAAGTGAATGTTCGTGCAGTATATGAATTTAGCCTTTTAAAGACCTATTTCGTTGATTTGTCTTTTGTTTAAATTTATTTACATTCCCCATTCAACTTCCATAATCTCATACAGTACGCGTTAACTTCGTAATGTTATGTTAACTTTGTATTGTTAACTACACATTCATTAACAAATCATGTTACAAATTATCTCTTATCTATTAGACAAGTCCGTTCGTCCGTCCGTCCGTCTGTCTGTGGTGCTGTTTCAGCGGCTAAACCGTAAGAGATAGATAAAGAGAATGTTTAAGTTATAAGTTAAGAATAGTCTGATAAGACTACAATCCGGATTTGAGTAACGTAGCACTTCCGGTTTTCCAGAAATCACGAATTTCAAACGAAACCACACAAAATCTCCGAAGTTCTCAATTAATTAAATACATTTTTTTTAAATCAGGTTTTGGTGAACAGTTGGTTCACTGGTTTTCTAGTTATATTATAATTTAGTTTGTAATTAGCTTAAGATTTATTGAGTAAAGTTTTTTTTTAGATTGTTATCCAAATTAAGTGATAGAGTTTTGAAATAGGTAAGTAAAAAAAAATGATTATTCGCTCGATTATTTATAAGATGAAATTTCATTTCAATTATTTTTATACCATAACAGATGTATAATAATAAAATAAAAATTTGTCCTAATTTTTACATGTTGTTGGCCCATCTAAACTGGAGCGGACACGGATATTATCTATGACCCTTCATTGGTTTAAATTAGATAATGTTCTTGTTTTCCATGACATGATAATGCCGTCTTTTTATTATAATACAAGTAATTGTAACTCACTAACGAAAACATCAAACGTAAATATTATGAACTAGCGGCCCGCCGCTAGAGCTGAAATGTAGATTACAGTTTTTGTTCTCAGGCTTGTATTATACACAATGACATTCACCTATGCTTCTTCTTATACCTGCATGCAAAGTCTCAGCCCGATTGGTTTAAAATTGACAAAGTTTCATACAAACTTTTATTCCCTATTTTATCCTCTTGAGGGTAGAATTGATCAAAATCCTTTCTTAGCGGATGCCTACGTCATAACATCTACCTGCATGCCAAATTTCAGCCCGATCCGTCCAGTGATTTGGGCTGTGCGTTGATAGATCACTATGTCAGTCAGTCACCTTTGATTTTATATATATACCTATAGATATTTCGCTAGTGAGAATATCTATTAATCGAAGGCATATGTGATACTCCTTGGGGGGTTGACAAATAAAATTAATGGAGCTATATTTGTTACAAGACCCAACTTAACGATGCTTCCTACATCTATGGCACTTATTGGATGCAGTTATAGTCCACAAACAACCTTGACCTAACCCTAACTGTATTTTATGATTGATTAAAATATTATATGAACTAATTTTAAAATTATATTTTTTTATGATATTTATATATGAGGAGTTCGTTAAACTTAAGCAACTTTCGCAGTGGTCGGTCATTGGATGGGTGACCACAAGTTACAATCTCGAGCTCTTCCGTGCTTCGGAAGGCACGTTAAGCCGTTGGTGCCGGCTGCATCTGCAGTCGTTAGCACCCACCAATCCGCACTGGGTCCGCGTGGTGGGACATGGCCCAATCTCCCTATTCCATCCATAGTGCCCCAGCAGTGGGGACATTAATAGGCTGATGATGATAATGATTTTTTTTAACTATTTTAATTTTAAAGAAAAGTATTTCCAGAAAAAAATCCACGCGGACCATTGGTCAGTGCATTCGCCCGAATTGCGAAGGGTGCGGGTTCGAGTCCCGTCCGCTGCCTGGTTCTCATGGATTTTTTGTGGTAAAACTTTTCTTTAGATTTAAACATCTAGCAGTTAAATGCTTAAAAAAATAAAAACATAACTATTTTAATTTTTCTAACAAAATCATCTTAAATTGTTATTCTATTGTAATTTTATGAAATTTTAAAGTAATATTTGTATACTTTTATTACAATTTGCAATGCCCTTGCAAGGCTCATGTTTACGAGCTGTAATTCTATTAAATCTATTTAAGAACTAAATGTAACCAACATGAAGCAATAAAAATTATGGCAATGACAAGTTGACCCGAAACCAACTTGTCCTATGACGGACATTAACTAACTTAGACATTAACTTACTTAGACATTAAGTAATTAGTTGGTTTATTCTATACTTTTCATTTGTTCCCAGGCTAGCACTAGTAAAACAAACTTAATTACTACCTCGATACAACTCCCCATGCTAAGTTGGAAAAGAAAAATATACAAATCGGGTCGCTCTCTGAATATGGTTTTGCGGAAGAGTTAAATTTTATCGCAACCTTTGTATTCAATTCGGTTTGTCGAAAACTCCTCTCCGATCTTTACGGAGCTATAATAAAAGCATTACACCCGACCATAACAGCGATGCCGCGTACCAAACAAGACATGACGGCACAACCTCGCTATAAAACCAACTGTAAACATAGAAACTGCGGACCCCGATTGCCTCCTCTTGATATTCAATGTTTACGCAATAACTCCTTGCGGAAACAATCTTTCTAAAGCGAGCAAACAGGCACTTACACGGGACTGCATTAATGGAGCCCATGAATAATTTATGGGAACGCATGGTACCGACGCTGCCGCACTGCGATCCGGTAATTTACTTGGCGGTTAACTGACGAGAATCATTCGTCTGCGCGATCAATCATTCAGTGTGTTGCGCATGTCAATTTATTCGGTGCTGAACGCTCCAATAATATGCTTTTCGACGTGTGCCCGAACCAGGAAAATGAGCTGGCTTTCTCTGTTGGATTTACGAGCATCCGCAAAAGACAACGAAGCTATGTATGTAGAAGGATGAACACGAAACGGAAAATTGTGCAAATAAAACCATTTTGTTTCAATTAATTAATTTATAATATTTTCGTAAAAGCTATTATCAAAGCTATAGATAAAATACCAACACCGATGTGGCGAATTGAAATAAAGTTTTTGAAAATGTTTTTAGACAGCTGGAAGTACACCGAATTCTTTTTGAAATAATAATCAGCCTTGTAATCGTACCAATCCAGAACTGTTTTATCATACCACACGTATGCTCCTTTTATAGTCGACGGTGAATCGAGAGCTAAATAAATGGGAGTTTCTGCAGCGTCATCTATACTGAAGAAACCTATCCCCATCGTCATATCGGTGCTAACGAGCCCTGGATGCATAGAATTCACTATGATTCCTCTTGATTCAAGTTCTTTCTGCTGTATAATGGTTAACGCACTCACCGCGACCTTTGATACTCTATATGATGCAACTGATCCGTTATCGGCCAAATCACTATTTTTGAAAGTCCCTTTCTTAACAGATTCCAGATACCAGTCAACGAAATCATTTATATCACTTCTAGTGAAGTTTTTATTGCTAAATTTTTTAATCCATTCTTCATTCCTTACGTTAGATAGGTGGCCACAATCACTTGATACATTTACAACGCGTGCATTATTCCTGAGTAGCGGAAACAGTACCTCTTCAACTGTTAGTAAACCTCCGTAGTTAATATCGATGACACTTTTACTATCTTCATAGTTATTTTTGAGCGGCATCTCCGGGGCAACCCCTGCGTTATTAATCAATATATCTATACCTCCATATTTCTTCTTGACATAATCACCGAATTTAACCACCGAAGATTTATCAGCAACATCCAACTGATGGTACAAGGGTTTGAGTCCATCTTTCTCCAATTCCTCCACCGCTTGTCTCCCTCTGGTTTCATCACGGGAAGTAAGATACACTACACCTTCAAACCGCTTGCACAAACCTTTAACTATAGCAAGACCAATGCCTTTATTTGAACCGGTCACTATCGCTACTTTTTCCGACATGACTGCTCGTATTCAATATCAAATTTCGACTGACACTGTAGGCTGTATTTATCTTTAGATAACCGGCACGCATATTAGCATAACTAGTCGTATATCATGACTGGCAAAAAAGTTGACGAAGATAACGTCACAATTGACCTTTGAGCACAGTCGCCGAATAAATGAATGTAACGATTACAATTGATTTCCACTGAGAATAGTCATCACAATAATTCAAGAACAATACAATTTATTGTGGAGATGAGGATGTTAAGAGAATAAATTGGTCGTGATCTAAACAGAACTGGTTGTTATTAGGAAGTGATAAAGGTATTTAAACATAATAATAAAGTATATCTATACAGAGAATTGTATGTTTGTAGCGTTGCAGAGGGAAATCTCTTTTATTATAGATATTAACGGGATTGTTACCATGTACCTTGTTTTTGATGAGTCTCCGATATTTCGGTACTGTTGCAAGCGCCATGATCACGGAGATGGTAACAATCCCGTTAATATCTATAATGTTAGTGACCATGAAAGTTTAAAACAATCTCTTTTATTAATCTCAAAAAAGATTATTGTATTGAAAATATAATTTAAATCATGTTACAGAGAATCATAAAGATCATGTTTTTTTATGTTAAAAGGGTAGCAAACAAGCATATGGCCCGCCTGATAGTGTTGTTGATGGTGAGCGACTCAATAGCCAATAGACGCTTGTAGTACTAAAACTGTCATTCACGCTGTTGCCTATCCTGACCCCAACCCCTATCTCGTGGATCATGGTCATATTAGCACCAATTATGAATTCTTATAAAATTATCGTCTCAAGCGTATAAACAAAAGACTTCTCCCATTTACTGCATTTAATTTTGACGGAAAAATACGACATAGTATGGAAACATAAATGTTTCGTAAGCATGTTTACAACCCCACGTAGTGTAGTAATAAAGAAAACTGTTTTCTTCCAAATAAGTCAAATGAATAAATTTGATCTACGATGATATAATAATATGTTGAATAAGAAAACATTGACTCATAGATACATGGAACCTCAGATAAGTGTGACCTTGACTTTGAAAACCAGTGTTCGGTTTGTTGCGTGCGTTATATAACCGAAGGTCGACGGCACAGCCGTGATTAGCAGTTTGATAAGACAATTTTATTTGTAACAAGTACCATATATAACTTTATAAACCAAGGTCATTTGCGGATTGTGAAAGTGAAAACGAATCTCATTTAATAAAATTTATCCAGCAACATAGAGAGGGGAAAAAAAAAGAACTGGCTGAGGCTTAGACAGGTTTTGCTGGATTCATGCAGCGATGTAGTTAATTTTTTAGTATTAAATTTACTAGCGAATTTCATCGACTTCTTTCGTCGTACATAAATGTTTTTGAGAATTTCTGAGGAACCTAACATTTTTCTGGGGTGAAAAGGGATGATCACTAATTTTTTCTTCGTTTATCAGGTATATTATCAATAAGTATTGGACACGTATTTTTGCTTTTTTCACATAATATAAACATTGCAGAGATATATTATATTGATTTGACAAGTCGCATGACGTCACGTTTTGGTACACTTATAAGTGAAAATACGCGCGCTATAACTTTGTCATTTTTTGGTTGATTGCCCAAAGAAAAAATACGTGTCCATTATTTTTTGATCATCTCGCTGACGGACTGAATAGAATTTCGTTTACTGTACCCCGTCATCACCCCTATTGTGGTTAAACTATTATACATGTACCAAATTTCCCCCGAATACGTTCAGATACTTTTGCGTGGTTGCGTAAAAAATTAAAAACATACAAAATTTATATTATTAGAAATTTGGTGATTATAATCAATGTAGAATTAAATTCAATTCATCACCCTTGATGCATAACTTTATTTAGAACAAATTTGTTCCACGCATTATCATTAAACTAATAACATTTTAATAATCGATTGCTTATTTAATTAATGAACGGCAAAAAAAAAAACAAATTAGATGCACTTTTTATTAAAACATTAACAAATTATATATTAAGGAAAAGAACTATTTTGTGAATTCTTTCGATTTGAAGTAATAATCAGCTTTATAATCATACCAATCAAGCACTCTTCTATCGTACCAAACGTATGCACCTTTCAGATCTTGAGGAGCCTCTAGGATTAAGTAAAGTGGGGTCTCAGCAGCTTGATCTACGTCGTAGAAGCCTCTGCCGACCGTCATATCAGTTTTGACAAATCCCGGGTGCATTGAGTTAACTGATATGTTTCTAGAAGCCAAATCGTTCTGTTGCACAATCGTCAGGGCACAAAGAGCCACCTTGGCGATTCTATAACCAGCTAATGTACCACCATCGGCGATGTCATCATAATTGAAAGTTCCGCCCTTAACTCCTTCCAAGAACCAATTCACGAATTCTATAATATCCTTCACTGTTAACTCCTTGCTAGATAATCTCTGTATCCAATAACTGTTCCGGACGTTCGAAAGATGACCGCAGTCGCTGGATACGTTCAAAATTCGTCCATTATCTCTCACGAGAGGGTAAAGAATCTCCTGTATTGTCAGAACGCTAAAGAAGTTCACATCTACAACGTACTTGTTGTCTTCATATGAGTTGTACAGTGAAACGGTGTTCGCAACTGCGGCATTGTTTATCAGGATGTCTATACCGCCGTGCTGCTCTCTGATGTAATCTCGGAATGTCGTCACACTCTCCCTGTCGGTTACGTCCAGTTGGTGATACGCCGGCTGAAGGCCGACTTTGTTGAGTTCTTCCACCGCCGCTCTTCCCTTTGCATCGTCTCTAGCCGTCAAGTACACGACACCTTTGAACCTCTTCAATAGCCCCTTTACAATGGCGAATCCGATGCCTTTGTTCGAACCAGTGACAACGGCTACTTTGGTCATGTCTGCTCGTTTGTGAAGACACGAAACAAGTGACACGCGATTGTATATTTGGCTTTAGTTTTAAAAGGTTGACCTCGCAGTAGTTTATCTTAAGCGGTTCAGATACCGCCGGAGTCGATAAGTCGCCCGCGTACACAATAAACAATGCATCACGTAACGGATGGGTGGGCGCCGCGGATAACGCACACAGTATAAATGTCAACGATAATGCCTCGTCAATTTATAACGACGCTAGTAAACCGCGGGTGAAATAAACCCGGAGCAATATCAATCAATTTGGAGGGATGTCTATAATATTTCGGAGGAATTCTTGTTTGAAAATGGCTATCCATCATAGGGCGTGTACGAATAGGAGTTGCTCGTTCGTCTAAACAGAACTTATAGTCTGACTTGTTTTCATAGATAAAGCGAGTATGCATTATATCACCAGGAAAATTTCGATTATCTTTATTTCGAGAGTAAGAATAATGGTTATAGATACAGTATCGTCCACATTTTGTTTGTACTTTGTATTAAGAGAGGTAAGGCACAATGGATTGTCTGCTTGAAATGGAGCGCGCGTCTTTGGAAGCAACCTCTAGCTTAGAGAAGGCCACGGTAAAATAACCCTACATACTTGTGGTATTGTATTTCTGCTGGTAAGTAAAGTTCAATGGCTCTAAGGGGTAGGGGATTGGGTTTAGGCCAGCAAGGTTAGGATGGCTGGAGAGGCACAGCTTCTGCTGCAACATCCAACTTCGGCAGTGGATTCCACTTACACTTAACATCAGGTGGGTTGGTGTAATTTGTTGCGCCTCGTATAAAAAGGCGCTCATGGTAGTTACCATATTAAAAATAACCATTAGCGGTTTAGTGTTAAAATTAACCCGTGAATTCAAAACTGATTTAAGCACACACAATCGTTCCCGAGTCATAGAGATTTTTATTTATATACTTAATTATCTGATACTCAATTTCCACAGAACAGATCCTTAGTTTCAGACTAAGAATGATCCAATAAAGTTGCTCAGAATGATTTTGACGACATCCGTGGTCGAGTGGTGTACGCCGGGTTTCATGGTGTCGCCGACTCGAGAGGTCCCGGGTTCGAATCCCGGTGGGGGCAGATGTTTGTGTGATGAATACGAGCATTTGTACTTCAGTCGTGGATGTTTCATGTGTATTTCTAAATAAAAATATACTTATATATGTACAGTATATGTATAGTATCCGTTACCCTAGTACCCCATAACACAAGCCTTACAGTGCTTACTTTGGGGCTAGGCTAATTGGTGTGAGTGTTGGAAATATTTATTTATTTATTTATGGATTCAAGAAAAGTAACCTTCATATAACTGAAATAGCATTTAATTTAACAAATCTTACGGTTAACAAATCTTTGATGTTATTTTAACTGAAACAGCGAACAATACTGAACATGGCAAAACAATGTACTTACTCGTGCATCATCGTATATTCGTGTGTGAGGGAAACGGATGTGATATTTTATGTGGTGCACGACAACGCGCGCTCGTCTAAACAATATTTTATTTTATTTTGATACTATAATATGAGACACAGACTCATGTCCTACCATAATAGTAGAACTTTCAACCAGAGTAAATAGGTAAGATTAGGTTTGTTGTTTTCGAGTCGGTAAACGCGGAAAATACACAAGATATGAATAAAGTAATGTGCCACAAAAAGGGTACGGATCGAGTGTCTGTAGACTTTATGGAAATAACAAAAAAAACAGAAGTCTAGAATTATACCCTAAAGTATTATTTTTCCTTAGAGATGTAATACTATTGTATTAGGAACAGTGCTCCCGTGTTATGTGTACTATCGCGGAATTTTGCGCTCTGTCATTTGAACAAAATGCTTTGAACGGTTTTCTACAGTAGTTTTTACTACGCCCCGTAGCATTTCATTGATTGAATAATGAATTGAAATGCATTTGTTTTAGTTGCAATTTGTCATCCGCATCGTGATCGCGACAGCGCTATACGAAAAAGTAAGACAGCGATAATTACATGTCTATGAATGAATTTTTACTACGCCGCTACCGCAAGCGATTATGGTATTATGGGTGACAGAGCGGGTCTTTCCGCGAGTGTACCTAGGTTTAAGTGCGAGCAATAACTTGTAGACTATTTTTTTTAAGAAAACATATTCTTGTTTAAAGTTTTCTGTCACAAAATTAGCAGAGCACTATGGAAACTAAATAACGTTAAGAAAACTAATGAAAGTATTTAAATCAAAAATAACTAATAATTCTAACCCAGGACATACGGAGCAGAAGGCTGCAGTAGCATCAATCGGTCATCTCACACACCATCGTCATCAGACTATGGATGTCCAAATCTAGACATAGGCCTCCTCAAGGGATTTCCATACACAACGATACTGCGCTTTCCACATCCAGTGGGTCATCCCCCGACTCGCTTGATGTTATCAGTACATCTGGTGATGGGTCTACCGACACTGCGCTTGTGTGAGGTAGCCATTGAAGAACGTTGGTTTTCGTCCATCGGTTCGCCGAATTATGTTCTCTGCCCATTGCCACTTCAGCTTTTAGATGCGTTGAGCGGATTCCGTGGTTCTAGTTCTTCTATCTACAGATTTCCTCATACTTCATTTATCTTATACGGTTATAACGGTTAATATAAAAAAATCTCTCTCTCTCTCTTATACACTGATAATTTATTACCCAGACACTAAATACTTTTTATTTTGGCATAATTTAAGTTTCTTGTGAGACCATAAAAACGAATTACAGGACTTCTTTGAGGAGAGTTAGATATTCTGAAATTGTTAACCCGCTTACAGGATTGTTTTGAATCCAAAATTTCCCACAGCAAATTCTAGTAAGACACATTTATTTTTTCAAATCTTAGATAGACGTGCAGTGTCTGTGAGTTCGACCCAGCAAATGTGCAATCACATTAAAAACCCCTTTGGCTATTTCCCCATTGTTCTCGTTATCTCGATGTCTCAGTAGATCCCATTGTGCCATGGTGCGTCCCTCAAAGGACCGACTGAGCATTTAATTCTAAGGTTTCCCAACTTGTTCGCTCTCAACTCTTTTATCAAAGTTTTTGTATTATCCCGCCCGCTTAATACAATTACACCCGCACTCTCCGCTGCGATAGAAAATTTAACTCCTTCCTTTTCCTGTTTGAAAGTTTATTCAATTTACAAGCCTTCCATGTTTTCTTTCGTTTTTGTCTTTGATGTTTTAGTATTTGGTGATGAAGTGGCGACATTATTCAGGAGATGCGGTTCTTTAGTCTAGTTAAATGACATGGGTTTGTGATATATAATGATTCTGTGTAAGAATTTCTGATTTTATTCTTCGTTAAGTAGTTTCTCACTCCCCTTCAAAAAGCGCTTAAAGGCCTATGCCATGGTGACGGTTTACTATGAGACAAATCTTGAAAAGTGAAATCCCTGTTTGTTGGGTACTATAATTATTCAAACAAGAGGTGAAGCATAGCAGATTTCTGTTCTAAGTAAAATAACACTACTTTCTGGTAGAGTTATGTTTCTATTGGTTAGTACTCGAAAGAGTCCAGACTCCACGGGTTAGAGGGTTTAGTTCGCAATGCCAGGTGAGGGTCTGACGGTACACTTTCTGCAGCATCATCTATCTTTACTGCTCGGCTCCACTTACACTTAACATCAAGTGGGGTGGAACAATTTTTATGCCTAGTGTAAATAAAAAGTCATCGTCAGCCTATAAACGTCCCCACTGCTGGGGCACAGGCTTTCTGTATAAATGGAATGAGGAGATTGGGTCGTGACCACGTGGCCCACCACACAGACGCAGACCCACTGCAGATTGGTGGGTGCTAACGACTATAGATGCAGTCGGGACCAACGGCTTTACTTGCCTTCCGAATCATGGACGAGCTCGAGATAATAACTTTTTTGGTCACCCATCCAATGAACAGCCATTGCGAAAGTTGCTTAACTTCCACGATGGCAGGCCGAAAGTGCTAAGTAATAATTGAATAAGAAGAAGAGAGTAGTAGTAATTTATTATGCCTCTAGTAAATAAAATAGTCGTTTTATTATTTGTTATTCAAGCATTTAACTGCTATATTTAATAACTAGCGGCCCGCCCTCGATTCGCTTCGGCGTAGAGCTGAATTGTAGACTACAGTTTTTGTTTTCAGGCTTGTATTATACATTCATTTATGATTCTTCTTATACCTGCATGCAAAGTCTCAGCTCGATCGGTTTAAAATTGACAAAGTTTCATACAAACTTTCATTCCCTATTTTATCCCCTTGGGGGTAGAATTGATAAAAATCCTTTCTTAGCGGATGCCTACGTCATAACATCTACCTGCATGCCAAATTTCAGCCCGATCCGTCCAGTGGTTTGGGCTGTGCGTTGATAGATCACTATGTCAGTCAGTCACCTTTCGAGTTATATATACCTATATATAGATTAGATAGATATAGCTATATATAGATTACCAGTGTAACCTAGTGCAATCAGTACTAAAGTTTATTTTAATCATTAGAAACCAAGACGCGAAGTTGACTAACAGTAAGTTATTTAAGCAGATGTAGCCGCTACTGAAGTTTCTCATTAAACGAATCAAATATTCATTAACGCGGCGGAGACAATACGGGATTGGATCCGGAACTCACGCGGCGCCCCCTACCTGTTGTGCTTAACAAAGTTATTACTTGGACAACTTCGTTTATTTTAGATAGATTTATAGATAATGCGTTTATTTTTTTTCTTCAACATACATATACATTTACAGACAGAGTAATACAATAAAAAAAAGATACAAGAAATCAGCTATGAAATATCTATATGTATGCTGCAGAAAGCAAAAGGCCAAGGCTCGGCTAATTGAGAGTTTTAAGGCAAAATACCGATTTTCAGCCATCGTCTTTATGAGTGAGTAGACTAGCTTTATTAATAATAAACATTTAAAAGATTTTGCAAGGAGAAAAGAGAAAACAGCCATGACAATGCAGTGGAGACAAACACATATTTAC